TCGGACCATCAGGCACTGAAAAAACAGATAAGAATAAGGATGTGCTTCAAGAAGAAGTGTAATGGTGGTGGTGAGTGTGCGCGTGTGTGCACGCGTGTGCGCGTGTGTGCGTATGTCTGACAGGTGCTGGGGAATGACAGCTCAGGCTCCTGACATTTCCCCCCCCGCCATGGGCATGACCGAAGAGGGTGCCCGAGTGTCTACAGGTCATAAGACAAAGGGACAGAATATTCTCGGCACGGCCCTCGTGGCTCTACATGCCCTGCTCGCCCAGGAAGCCTCTGGCTGATTCGCTCTTGCAGCCCCAACTCCCAAGGCTGCACAAACCCAGCAGGCGTCTTGGGTGTGTCTCCCCGAGTGTCCCCACTTGCTCTTTCTCCTCTCTCCTCTTACGCCTGACCCCAGTGCATGGTCCAGCACCCCGGGCATAGAAGGCACGATGCAGGATCAGTGAAGGAAAGGTAGAAAGGGACTCTCAGAGCGAGGCCACCAAACCCTGGACACTGTGGGCTGGTAAACTTCAGCAGAAAACACGGGTCTAAATCGGCGGTTCTCAACCTGAAGAAATTTGGTCCCAGGGGACATTTGACGATGTCCGGAGATGTTTCTGGTTGTCACAACTGGAGGAGGGGGCGCTATACTTGCATCTAGGGGGCAGAGGCCAGGAATGCTGTGAAGACCCTACAATGCACAGGCAAGCCCCCCACCCCCACCCCCTCCGCCAGGAAGAATTATTTGGCTGCAAGAGGCAGCGGTGCCGAGGCTGAGGAACTGGTCTAAAGGAAGGTGGAATAAAGACCCCCGTTTGGACTTCAGTGGTCCTCAGCATCTGGGCGGTGCTGGGCACAGGGAGCAGCCGTTACTCAGTCTCTGAAAGGCTAACCCTGGGAGCCTGAAAATGTTGCCACTCATGCGTGTTCTCCATCCCCTTCGTGGTAGATTCTGGCCTAGGCCTGTGTGTGCGCGGTCACTTCTCAGCGTTCAGTAAATAATTTGGCACCAGCCGCGCCCCAGGCACAGCTAGAGCCACTACAAGTAACAAGAGCAACCACCACATTGGTTAAAATTCACTGAAGCGTGGCAGGCATCCTGCTCAGCGTTTTATGAGCCATCAACCCTTTAATATTGCACAAGTACCCTGCAAAGCAACTATTAACGTAATCCTCATTTACAGATGAAGGAACCGAGGGCGGCCCAGGAAAAGCCAGTGGCTTGTGCAAGATTCTCCAGTTTATAAATTACGGGTGGAAATGGACTGCAAAGCCAGGCACTTGGATTCTAGGATCCAAACTCCGAGCGGCTAAGACGCACCAAGGACAGACAGATGCTGTTCCGGGAATAAACGCGGGTGTCTGTGGGTGGAACAGCTATACTAAATTTCCAGGAAATTTCATCCTGATAACCCAGTTTGATTTTTAATTTCAGTTTGTTTTGCTAGTCCCATATTCCAGCTCTAAACAGTGTGGGCTTAGAGACTGGCTGTTCTCTCCCCAGATGAGAAGCTCTGTTTCCAGGTAGGTAGGTAGGTAGGTAGGTAGGTAGGTAGGTTCTCAGCGCACGCGCGCCCTTGCCCTGTCCCAACCCGGGCAGCGAGACAGCGCCTAAGGCAGAGAGGGAAGGCAGGGTGAGGGGTGTTTGAACCCAAGCGTGCTGGTTCTCAAAAGCTCGTCTCGGCCCCTCCAGGCGGCCGCTGGATGCTCAGAATCCCTGCGCGCCCGCGGAGCAGGCTCCTCCGCGTTCCCCAGCGCTGCTCCCCTGTCACCGCCTTGGCAATCACGGGGACCGCCGCGAGGAGGCTGCGTTTTCTCCCAGGGCAGCCTACCAGACGCGCGGAAAGGCTGGTTTCCTGGGAGAGGGACGGGGAAATAAAACCTCGGGAGAGAGAGCTGGGAAGAAGAAACGCAGGCTCCTGGCAGAACCCGACCCGCGTGGACCCGGCGCGCAGCGGTGGATACGCGGCTGCTTCTGGGCACAGGAGAGACGTCTGCATAGGGTGGCAGAACTGAAGAATTCGGGGTGAGGGGAACGCTTTAGATGAAGGGGGGCGGTGTTCAGCCTCTTCACGGCTCTCCCAGCTCTCCCAGCTCCCGCGTCCATCTCTCTTCGTCCCCAACCCCGCCCCTCTCCCAACCCAGCTTCCTGCAGGCCCATCTCCGAAACTGCATTTCTGGGCCGCGGGTCTGTCACAAGGAGCTGGCGAGAGCCTGTCCCAGGAGCAGCTGGCCCACCCCTCCCATAGCCCAGAGAAGGAGTTGGCTCAAAACGAGCCCTCGAATTCGCCATGGGCCTGTCTCCCGGGTGGGTGGGGCAGAGGGGCGGGCTGTGCTGCTTCGGGGTCCAACGCAGACCCGTGGGATGCACTGGAGCTAAAGGATGCGAAACTTCGCTCGCGAGAGGGTTCTTAAAACATCGTGCCAGCCGCGCACAACTCAGAAGGCATCAGAATCGCCGATAATAAAATTAGTTGGGATTCCATTCACCGGAAGCCTTAAAGCACCTGGGCTTCGTTTAGGTTGGCACAAGGCACAATGCCCCCTCCTGGGACTGCGGAGAACTGGTCCTCGGTGCGACAGGGGTTCAGGGGGATGGAGATTGGGGGAGGGTGCCGAGAGAGAGGTAGGATGACTTTTTCATGCGTCTCGGGCACAGCCGAGGCGTCTGGCTCCAAGAACAACCTGGAGCGATCTCCTCTCCGTGGGGAGCCAGATCGCACCTGCCTTTGTACCTCGGGCACAGCCGAGGCGTCTTGCTCCAAGAACAACCTGGAGCGATCTCTCCGTGGGGAGCCAGATCGCACCTGCCTTTGTCCTAGGGAAGCTGGAGAGACAGTCCCGCGCGTAGCTGGATTTGTAGGAGACGGAAGGTTTTAGAAGTCAACGCAGCACTTGTTGAACAACCCCAACGGGAGCGCCTTTCTCCCTAAGAGACGCGCGCGTTTGCTTTGCGTGCATGCTAGGAGTCCGCGCCGCCCAGGGCGGGTGGGAATTCTGGCTAGACAAGAAGTGGCCCAGGTCTCCAGGACTCGGGGTAGGAGCTTTGGGGGTCGCGAGAACCCAGACCTGCTGTTTCCCGGATCCGGTTTCCTGAGCGGCAGAAACACCTCAAACACCTCCCCCAGGAGGCCAAGCGCCTCTCATCTCTGCAGAATCCCCACACTTTCTTCTTCTCCTGGTCCCCATTACGCGTAAAAGTAAAATAAAATAAAATAAAAAACCCATACATCTCTCCACCAGGAGGGCTGCTGTGTGGATTCAGGGCGCTGCGGGATGGTGCGTAACAAGAATCCATGAGAACATAAGGTCCCTGGAGCCTCGGGCTCTGGCTATACAGGGCCACGCGCAGCGACCCCGGGACGCGATTGTCCTAGGTCCTCGGAACCCCGGCCCCACATGGTCCCCCTGGTGAGAGGAGGCCTCACCATCCCGCTGGGAATTTGTCCCTAACAAGTCGTTGTCAGTCGGAGCGCAGGGAAGGACTGAGCTCTCGCGCTGGCTCGGCCGGTCTCTGTCCTTAGCGATGGCGGTCAGGGCCGCCAGACAGAGAGGGCTGCGGGTGGGGACGAATCCCAGGCCAGAGCGGGTGTACTGGTGTCAGGAGCTGAGGCACAGCACCGGGAGGGCCCTCTCCTTCCCTTGGGGGTACGGCTTTCTGTCCTACTGGGCGCGTGTGCCCCAAGCCGGGAGCGCACGAGGCTGGGGAGGAAGGCGGAGTCTCTGCAGGGCTGAGGGTACCTGAGGGTGCCTGCCGAGGGGTGACTAACAGAGCTGAGGACCCCCAGCCCCATCCCCACCCCGCCCCAGCAGGAAGCCCTAACCCAGGCTGGCGCCTGTCCAGTCCACAGCCGAGGACTCAGGGTTCCGGCCACGTGGATTTCTAAGAAAAAAAAAAAAAGTTTATTTAAAATTTTGTACATAAATAAATAAATAAATATCTTCTGGTATTACAGAGACCGTACAGTTACACAGCTAGGCCGGGCGCGGGCCGGGTGTCGGGGCCTGGGGCAAGCGGGGTGTCGCCGGAGGCGAACATCCAGGGCCTCTGGGAGAAGACAAGGAGCCTTCATCCAAAACCAAGCAAATGGGGGTCCCTGACTCGGATACCACGGGGGGCATTTCCTCGAAGACGAGCGGCGGGGTGGGCAAAGCCTGGTTGAGGGACCAATGGGACTGACTGAATCTGGAGGAGGCTTTTCGAGGAGGGGAAGGGAAAGGAAAATACAAAACAAAAACGAAAAACCCAGAAGTTCATAAATGTGTGCGGGGGGTGGATAAACGGCCACAGGAATGAGGTGAGGAGGGAGAGGGGAAAAAAGAGAGGAAAGAAGGAAGGAAGGAAGGAAGGGAGGGAGCGAGGGAGGGAGGAAGGAAGGAAGGAAGGAGGTTCCTTAGTGAAATAAGTTTAGATAGAGATGAAAATTTAGATGAAGAATTTTTTAATGTTTTGTTTTTCTTTGCAGGACTTGTCAGAGCCTTTAATATGCAAACATGCATGCGACTCTCCAAGAGAAGATAAAGTATACAATGTTTTCATAATTTATTTCTACAGAGAATTCTTTTTGCCCCCCTAAAATTCATGTTAATATTTTACAAAAAAAAAAAAAAACCTACTTAAAGGCGAACGGGCGACCGAGGGGTGAAAGGCCGAGCCTGGCCCAGGGTGAGGAAGAGCAGAGGAAGCGGGGACGCATGAACCAGTCCAGGGAGAGCGGGCGAGGAGGCGCCGGCGGCCAGCAAGGCGCTAGGGCGGGCCGGCGCGCCCGCGGGGCCGACGTGCTCTGTCGGTGGCTGAGGACAACAGCGCTTGCAGCCTTCACAACTCGGAGTCCGCCTTCGACGGCCACGGGCCCTGGGGTGCAGATACCAGCGTCAGGTCCCTGCCGAGCTCTCGGCGCCGCCCAGGGCCGAGGGCGCCCGCAAAGCCGGGGAACCAGCTCTGCGTCCCATGATGGGTCTTGGAGACGCAGGGAGGGCCGGAGGTGGGCGATCTGGGGACACGAGCGCCTAGGGAGTGACCGTGAGATCCCGGTCGTCCTTCCCCGAAGAGGTCGGGGACATGGCCAATTCGTCGTCATCCTCCGAGCACTTGGCGGAGGACAGCGACGCGCACTTGCAGCCTTGCGGTGCGCCCCCGCCGGCACCCGCGTTCCCGCCGCCGCCGCCGCCGCGGTGGTGGCTGCCTTTGCCCTCCTTCTTGTGCTTCACGCGGCGGTTCTGGAACCAGATCTTCACCTGCTTCTCAGACAGGTTCAGGTAGGTCGCGATCTCGATGCGGCGCAGGCGAGACAGGTACATGTTAGAGGCGAACTCGCGCTCCAGCTCCAGCAGCTGCGTGCTGGTGAAGGCGGTGCGCATCCTCTTGCTGCTGGGCAGCTGGCTGGAGCTGCTGTCTGGAGGGGGTGAGGGTGGAGAGAGCGAAGCGGTCAGATCCCTGGGCCGCGGGCCCAATCTTCCCCTAGGAGGCCGTTAGAATCCCGCGACTTGGGTCCGCCACCCATCCTTGCGCCCCGAACGCGGTGCATAGCCGCGTGACCGCGGGCGCCTCCTGGTCAAGCCAGGGGACCCTGATCCTCTCGGAGTCACGCGGCCCTGGCACTCGTTTAGGGAGCGCCCTGAACCCCAGCCCTGGATACCTCCTGGACGTCCCCTCCAGGATGCGGACCCTCTGCGTTCACCCGCCCTGCCCAGCGCCCCATCCGAACACCACCCTGGGTGTCCCTCCTCAGGGCCCCGACATTCCCCACATCGCCCCCATTAACGCCCAGGGTCCCTCATCCCCAACCTTGGCTCGCCAACTTTCGCCAGGCCACCTACGCCCCGGTGCCGCGCGCGGCGGCCGGGCTTACCCACGGAGATGCAGTGGAACTGTCTGGGGTCGGGCAGCGGATAGGAGGTCTGGTAGAGCGCGGCGGCGGCGGCGGCGGCGGCGGGGCCGTGAGCGACCCCGGGCGACACGGCAGAGTGCTGGCGGCCCAGGGGCGCGTGGCAGTACTGCGAGCCGAAGGGCGGGAAGGACGCCT